AAATAGGTGTTTTATATATAATTCAAAACAATATGAACTGTATATTATTCACAAATGTATAACCTCTCTGAAACACCAAAATCAGCTGCCACTATGAGATATTCGTAACAGGCAGAGCCATCTTTGGAAAACGGACCGAAATAATTTGTACTCGCGTAGCATCTTATATTTATTGGACACTAATTTACATAATAATTTAAAAAAAAAATATTTTTATTAAAGTCAATTTTATTTGCTGTCATGTGTATCAGAGAGCACTTGAACTCGTGAGCTTAGTGCTCTGTATGGCTATTATTCTTTCTCCTTACATAAAATATATTTTTATGATATTATAAAACTTTATGGTTTACTACGTGACAGGACAATAAAAAGTATGGAGAGGTGTATTGACCTAATATATTTTATTTACATAAAATGAGAGAAAAACAAAGTCTGTAGAAAAATAAATCTACCTACTTAAGTATATTAATAAAAATATTGATTAATTTGCAAATTTCCGCTAACTAAATACAATGATGTGTCTTACGCGCTCAATTGCGTGCACTAATTCCGTCACCACTAGTCCCAGCACCACTACTCACAACACAACTACTCCCGGCACCACTACTTCCAACACCACTAATCCAGGAAAGACACACTATCGACGATAATACGACACGTGTTTCGCCTCTACACGAGGCATCCTCAGATGATGTAGACTCTAAGGCGGCTGACCTCTAAGTGAGCGGCGAGCCAAGTTTAGCGGTCATTCGCCGTAGAGTCTACATCACCTGAGGATGCCCCCTCCCCAACCCCAACCCTTCCATTAAAATCTCCTAGTATAATAATAATTTGATTTCCCTTACATTTCATTAACACCATCCTTAACATTTCCCAAAACTGCTCTCGGATTTAAGTGTCTGGGACGTAGACCCCTAGCACAAACAACTTCTTTAAGCTTACTTTCATTCAATTCAATAGCAGTCTTGGGCTTACACATTCATACTCTTTCACCCATTGGCCCATTCTTTCAGAAAAAATGATACGTATACCCTGGCATGCCCACCCGATCTCGTCTACACCAGACCAGTATGCGGTATACATGCCATCGTTTCATTTACACATAACACATCTATTCCTCTATTGTATATCATATTGCATACTTCATCCATCTTATCATTCGTTGCTCCACATACATTCAGCGTAGCCAGAAGGGCTTCTGCAATCCACTTTTTACCCCTCCGGGAGACAGAACGTGGCGGGTGGCGAACTTCGTCGCCGGTTTTTCTTCCAGAGATTCTTCAAAGCCCTGTCCCATTAAAGGGGAGCCGGGAACCGGAAAATAGTATAATATACGAAATGATTACGAACAATTAATAGTTGTGTCTTAGAATCAGACAGTATCGAATTTCACCTCATAAAATACGGATTGAATGAAGTGGAGTTATTTTATATTTTTATAGAATTATGATGATAATAAACAAGTCCACCTGATGGATAGTGGGTGCTACGACCCATATATATCTACACAAGCCCTTGATTAAGAATCAAAATGCATATGCTTTGCCATCCCAGAAGACCAAGATTGAAAGCCTTAATTCCAGCAAAGAGATTCCCCGGTTTTCTACATTCACCATACGAAACACAGCGGATTAAAGCCGCTATTTTACGCTGATATTCTAGGAGAGCGTTGCTCTTCTATAGTCGAGCCAAACCAACCATGTCACAACCTTATATAAGCTGAAGCATACTAGGCTGCACTAAAAGTATCGGGAATGGAATATTTCCACTGTTCATGTCATATTAAAATCTTTTAATTGAAAACTCCTTGGTTTTAAAAATCGAAAACCATTTATTTATTTAAAAAAAGATTCTCGGTCTTGTCACAAGTTTTTGTCAAACTGGTTTCGCCGTTGTGAAAATGGAATTGACTCGAGAAAATTCAAGAGCGATGATTTATTATGACTTTCGAAGTGGTTTAACACAAAAACAGTATGTTGACCGGATGATTTCTGCATTTGGTGATGAAGCCCCATCTAAAAACACAATTTATCGCTGGTTTGCTGAAATTCAACGTGGACGTGTCATGCTCAGTGATGATCCCCGTCAAGGTCGTCCAAAAACTGCAGTCACCCAAGAAAACGTTGATGCTGTGCGTAAGCTGATTGAGGGAGATCGACATGTAACATACCGCAAAATTTAGGAAACTTTAGAGATTGGCATGAGTCAAATACAAATAATCTTGCATGAACAATTAGGTGTAAAAAAGTTGTTTTCCCGATGGATACCGCATTCGCTCTGTGAAGAGCAAAAAGCGGCTCGCGTTACTTGGTGCCTCAGAACTCTCGAAAGATTCCACGTAGGATCCTCAAATGCTGTACACAATATCGTATCAGGTGAAAAATCCTGGATATACGCGTACAAACCCGAAACAAAAAACCAGTAACGAGTTTTAGTGTTCGAAAATGAGTTAAAGCCAACAAAAATTGTTCGTTCACGGATTGTTGCAAAAAAAATGGTGGCCACGTTTGTCTCCAAAATCAGCCATGCTACGACTATTCCTCTTGAGGAACAAAGAACGGTTAATGCAGAATGGTATGATAGCATTTGTTTGCCACAGGTCGTTTCTGAACTCCGTAAAGAGAACTGCAACCGCCGCATCATCCTCCATCACGACAATGCGAGTTCTCACACCGCACACAGAACAAAAGAGTTTTTAGAGCAAGAAAACATAGAATTATTAGACCATCAGCCGTACAACCCCGACCTAAGCCTAATGATTTCTATACTTTCCCTAAAATAAAGAATAAATTGCGTGGACTGAGATTTTCATCACCTGAAGAAGCTGTTGATTTTCATCGCCTACAAAACGGCCATTTTGGAGACCCTAACTTCTGAATGGAATGATTGTTTCAATGATTGGTTCCATCGTATGGAAAAGTGTGTCAAATTTCGCGGAGAATACTTCGAAAAACAATAAATACATTTTTAAATAGTAATGTTGTGTCACTTCCTTAATTCCCGAAATTTTCAGAGCCGCCCTCGTAGCTCTATTACGCAAAAAGATTAATGGATTTTTGGATGGAATGATGGAGCTTGATACGACGCCACTACACAGCACAATAAAAACATTACATGTTACTTTTTAATCTTTTATACAACAATAACTCGACATTGAATATAAAATTAAAATATAACTTTTAATTAGAGGGCTGACTTACATTAGAGTAGCTATTACTGCCATTATATTGTAAAACTTATGGCCTAACAAGCTTTACAACCTTGCGCAAAGTTTATTATTGGTGGAATTTTCCATGAGAGTAAAAATTTGTTTTCTGGAACTGCATATATGCAAATATAGAATAAAGTATAAAATACAGAAGGGCTCGTACTACGAGAATTCCGTATGAACTAAATTTTGTATAAATATAGTTTACTCATCTTAGGAACTATAGTAAGATAACCATCAAACATTGCTTTAACGAAAAAGTAAGTCTGATTGAAAGAATAAACTTAAATTCTTATTGGTAATATATTCTCATCGGTCATTGGTCGCTATCGTGGTCGATGTTACAACGGCACATATAAGTTTGTAATCGCAAGAAAATATTTTTTAATAAATATAAATTAATTCTTATAATTACACTGATTTAATAGCTTAAACTTTTACAATGCTAAGTAAGCTTATGAGAGCACCTTAGTATTTGATTAGGGTATATACAATACCTGTATATTGTGATTATAACCCACAGTCTTTAAGACAAAAGTGAATCGACTTTTATTAAGCTAAGTCCGTGCGCTTTACCATATTTGGCCGCATCAACACATACCAATGGATAGGATAGTAGACACGCACTGGCTTATAATAATAAAAATAAGGTATTTGATATTAACTTCAACTTGACACCTTTACCCGTTCCTGAGAAAAAGGGTCTTGACAAATGAACAGATGGACGGCGTACGAACAAACAGGGTTCCGTTTAAGTTTTGGAACCTTAAACACATTTTGATGAATATTTTTGGAGCAATTCCATTACTGAAAAAACTACACAAAATTACTCGTCGTCAAACTAACGCTATTTAAATTAAAAAGTAACATATCAAACAAAAGAAAAATTTGTATTTTATACTAAAAAGTAAATTAATTGTTTAAGGTCTCTGCCCACTACACCGTATCATACCATGACCGTGCTAGGAGCGTATCAGGCACGAAAAGCAACACGATACGCTCTACTATGCCCACTGAACGGATCGACGGCGTTCTGTGCCCGTATACATCCCGTATAATGCCAGTATGCAACCCGTATGTAACCCGTATGATGCCCGTATGCAACATCCACCAAAACCAATAGGAATCCGTTTCATTCTCGCATGCGTAACAGTGTTGCGTGGACGTCTTGGAGTGCTACCAAATTTTTAAATTGTAAAATAGTTATGGCTATCAGAAAATTAACTGTTAGACAACTGGCGATGATTGCTTTAATATTGGATGAGGAAGAAGAAGAAAACAAAAAAAAAAACACTCGGCGCTACTGGATTCACGATTCTATAAAAGAACGAAAAACCGAAGGAGAGTATTGGACATTATTCAGACACTTAGTTGAGGATGAAGAAAAGTTTTTTCAGTATTTCCGAATGTCTACATTCCAATTTAATGTTATGCTGAAAAAAATTGAAAATTATATTGGCAGAATAAACACAAACTTTAGAGAATGTCTGTCATCTAAAGAAAAGCTTGCTTTGTATTTAGGTAAGTAATACAATTTGATCAATATATTTTAAATCAAACTTTTATTTAAATTCAAATATTCAGAATGTGTACTCATATTGTATGTATTTTAAACCTATTCAAGAACATTTCCAGACTGATTCCAATCGTTAGTCATAGACGTATCCCAAGTCTCAGGAGACGTAGGCATAGGTGTGTCTCTTGCTTGAACTCATGAAGAAGTCGATGCTGGAGATGGAGTATTTGCATATTGAGGTGAAGTTGTAATAAAAATATGTGGTGCGAGCTGCTGTTACTCCATTTCGGAAACTAAACTGAATATTTTGTGTTTTGCTATTGCATTTGCTTGTAGGTAAGGTGAAAACTTTTTTACTGTTTCTGATATATTCAAAAAGAAACGATCTAGTTCATCGTGTTCACGTTGTTGTGGAACACTTCCTTGTTGGTCTAATAATCTAGACATCAACACAGCGGATGCTGATAATGGTAGGTTTTTAGCGCTTTTTATTCCCTTTGTCTTTTTTGCTTGACTGTGTTGTGATTTTGGTTGTGTGGATTTATTGTGGATAATAGTGTTATCTTCGTTTCGAATTTCAGTATCTTGAGGAGCAGTCACATCCACAGCATCAGTATTGTTAATCTCATTGATTGAGTTAGGGTTCTGAACTTCAGTTTCTGCATCTTTGTTCTGAGACTCTTCATCGTTGCTTGTCAGCTCAACGGACTCTAAAGTTTTTTTTCAGCAAAAAACGGAGCAACAAACGACATTTCTTCCTCGTACTACCATTTCTTAATGTACTTAGCCGCCTATCCACTTTTGCCCTTTTTCTTATTTATTGCTCTTCTGTATGCATCCCTTAGCCCTTGCCACCTTTTTTTACAAGCTGCAGCTGTAAAAAATACAAGTAATAAGTATTATTATTAACATTGTTGTTGGGATGGTTCCTTTACTCATAAAAATTAACAACAATACTTCTGCTCTTGATTCCCCAAGCCTGGCCTGACCAAATGATTCTTATGTAGAGAGATTTAAAAAAAAACATTTAATTTATAAAAGTTTTAGAATTTTGAAAATTTTAAAGTTGACTTGTCTAGTACTTATCATAAATAGAATAACTACCCGAGAGGTTTAGCGTATTTAAAATTACTCGTATAAATACGAATACGTACATAAAACATACAATACGCACTCAAAACACACTATTAAAATATATACATACAGCTTTGATGTAACAATAATAATACATAATCATAAATACATTTAACTAAGTGAAATATTATAACATATAGTACAACTTTGACTTATTTGTTTAATTAATATTGTGTTTGCAGGTACTTAGCAACTGGTGATTCGTTTACAACTATTGCTTTTAGCTATCGTATGGGAATCAGTTCTGTGAGGCGTGCCGTGTTGAAAGTGTGTGATGCTATAATAAAAAATATAATGCGAGAAAGTATTCCTACGCCTAGCACAGAACAATGGGAAAAAATATCGAAGGATTCTGGAATAAATGGAATTTCCCCAATTGTGTAGGTGCTATTGACGGAAAGCATGTTATTATTTTAGCACCTCCAAACAGTGGATCTTTGTATTTTAATTATAAAAAACATTTTCAATTGTACTTTTAGCTTTAGTTGATGCTAATTATAACTTCATAGCCGTAAACGTCTGTGATTTCGGCAAAGATAGTGATGGAGGTATTTTGTCAAAATCAAAAATGGGCAAAGCTATATTCGAAAATAAATTTAATATTCCAAGTACCAAATTTTTTCCAGGGAGTAATGTTAGTGTACCATGCGTTATACTAGGAGATGAAGCTTTTCCTTTAAAAAATAATCTCCTATGGCCTTATCCATCACAACAGTCAATCAACGATGATAAGAAACGCCACTTTAATTATCGCATTTGTCGAGAACGACATGTAGTGGAAAATGCTTTTGGTATTTTAAGTCAAAAATTTCGAATTTATAATAGACGTTTGCATTTGAAGCCAGAATTTGCGGAAAAAATTGTACTAACAACGTGCATTTTTTACAATTTCATTAGACACGGAGAAACAGTAATTTATAAGGAAACAAATACTCCTGTACAGTTTAACAACCTAAGACACCAAGGAGGGAATGCAGTTTCTACTGCTTTTGAAGTACGTCAACAATTTACGGATTTCTTTCAAACGTCTCAAGGCCAATTGGATTGGATACCCATATAATACAGAATATTTATTATTTTTTACTACAATGTTAATATTACATTTTATAAACTAGACTATGGTAAAATAAAATGCCTTAACTACTATCTATCTAAAAATAAACTAACAAATAGGTTAACTAACCCATATATTAAATTACTTCAAATAAACAATAATTTTATAAACAAACCTGGTTGTTTGAGTTGTTCCGAAATTTCCTTCCAAGCCATTTCTTTTTTCACACTATCCATATATTTCGGGTGTTGTAGATTATATAAAAACTCAAATTTACGTACACATTCTATTAATTTTTCATCCTCCATTTTACAACGTCTTTACGTCTCGTTAAACTGACAACAAATGACTAAGTTACGGTAACGCGCTTACAACGTCTATATAACGGTCATTATACGCGTTTACAACCCGTATATTCGCCGGCTCGCCGCCTGCGCGCTGCAGCTTGGCAACGTCGCGTGTCATGCACAGAGCGTGTCAGCACCGGCAAAATATTCTCGCCGACATTTGTTGACGCTCCGTGCATGGCACGCGACGGTGTTGGTCGGTGACGGAACGGTCTAGTGGGAACAGTGTCATACTTTTCAATACAAATAATATTTATTTGCCTGACACGTTCCTAGCACGGTCATGGTATGATACGGTGTAGTGGGCAGAGACCTTTAATGTAAATTAATTTTGATATGTAGTAAAAGCAATATGTACATAATGATAGTTTATTTGTTCAAAAATTAAGCACGCGATAACTTTTGATTTTCAATAATAACACGATACTTTTATTTTGTCACAAATTTCAAATATGTTACACTTATGACGTTATTATTATTTAAATATGACCTATAGAATGTAAGGATAGTAGTGCGAAATAGTAATTTGCATTCATTTCTATTTCGAAGAAATCCTTATAAAATATCTAACTCGAGTTCGTATCCACCATTCGATTAACGTGATAAACCACTCTTAACACAAGCATTTTAAAAGCTTAGCTTTTAAATTGCTTAGAATAGTAAACGGAAGTATTAGTAATGTTAATAGGGATAATAGTATTATTGTTTTAAAATGTCAAACCAAGCAGCAAAATTTGTTTGGATATTTTGGTTACGTTACTTAACCTAATATTTTTTTTACTATTCTAAGATAGCGCTTAACTATTATCTAGTTGATGGTAGGTGTTGATGCAACCAAAGATCGTAAAGTGAACTAACTTAACAAAAGCCTATTCACTCTTGTCTTGTAAATATCCACATTGTGATCGGATAGAAAGACGGCAACTTATTTCACTCCTTTGCTTTACGCGTGACGAACGATGTGAAGCAAACCTAAAAAATAATATATTGTTACGGTATTAAAATCCACATTATGATTGTGTTACATAAGCCGCCTGAAGTGGACTGGATATATCGGCTGCATGTCAGATGAGTTATGAGCCCCCAAAGCCATTTTTGTGATCTAGGGAAGGAGACCAGTATCACTGCGACTTAAAAGATCTATTGTGATCGCTGCTATGGCTATAGTTCACTACTATGACCTATGTTTTCAACGAATAGAAGGAGTTGCTTAGCTGTGAGCAATTTCACTTCTACTGGGCGAAGTACATAGTTTACGACATGAATGTTACGTTTAAACATTAAGGTTCACAACCAGTTAGGATGTGCACAGGCTTTTATTCCTTTATGGATCAAAATCGACGCATCCTTGAGTTGCTTAGTCCTAGAATTAACATGTGCTTTTTACGAAAACAGTGTCCAGTTAGAACTTTTATCACAATGCGCAATTTATTTTTGCCTGATCCCGGGCTTCTGAAGCAAATTTACGATCAAAAGCCCGGATTAAGGTTATAGAATCTTTCAAGTCGTCTGTGTCACACCAGATCTTAAGTGATTTATTGTGACAACGAGTTTCAGGAGTTAACCGGGCTAAGCTTCTTGAGATTCCACTAAATGGCTCATGTCCAAATTGTGTAGTATTTGAGCCCTCCTGTGCGAATTTTCAGCAAATTTAGTGTCTACAGTACCCCTGTAACCCGGAATAAGATGTTATTAACATCCGTTGTTACATCCCAGGGCGTTTAAACGGTTCACGTATTCTCCAACTAGCTTCGAGTTAACCTCAAAAGTTTGACCTCAGCACTAGTAGTGCTTGATTATCAGCGTTTATATAAGTTATATGGTTGACGTAGTGTTTTGCAGATTAATTTTCGCACACTGTGTTATGGCGAAAATTTGCCTGAAAGATGGAAGTGTATTTAAATTTGAATTTGGGGCGGTCCCTATAAATTTTAAAGCCTACATCGAGGCCAATTTTGACCCATCGGTATACCATATGAGATTACCAATCTCACAGATAGCCCGGCCATTCAGCCAGTCTTCTCTGGAGGGTAGTTCCACTATATACTTTTTATCAAAAGTGTATAGTGGACGCATGATATCTGAGATCAAATATAAGACCAGTGTTTCCTTAATCAAATTGATTAATTTGCTAAAATAAATTTGTGGCATATATTCTGCTCCTTTTGTGTCGTGTTCATGATATTTTCAATGCGAAGGCACAGTGATGCAGGCGCAAGCCTAGTTTCGAGCTGCGTTAAATAAATACAATCTACAAACCTATTTTTGAATCTATCTTTGTTTATTGAATGCTTTGTTCGAGACTACGTAATTTTTACAATTTGAATATTTACTTCTATCTTTGTTTTAGTGTGCTATTTTCATTTACTAGAAAATTTACCGGCCTTCAGTCAAGGTACATTTTGAAATGGACTGAAAGTAAAGAAAGTGACCGACGAGCTCTACCCGCGCCTGCAGTCAAGACGCCAGAGCAGTGGATAACAGTTAAGTTTATATCAAATAATTTTACAGATTTACACTAACTTATACACTTATATTTAATTGAATATGGAGAAACTTTAAAATCTGGGCCTACAATAAGTTGCAAAGTTAAGAAAATTGTGGATACAGACCGGCAACCTAGGCATCACCATTACTCCTCTGACTGAGGCAGAATTATCTTGCTCACAGGTGTATAGTACAATTTGGCAGCGACTGTCCTGACTATGCCAGAGGAAGAAGTGAGTTCAGTAGTATGTAGTAAGACTCATAATAATTATTTATATACAAATTGGTATACCTAATCAAACTTCGTAACATTATTTTTTAGTTTGAATGCAAGTTACATTAATATAATATACTTTAACTAATAATTACAGATGCCATGGAAGGAACATGACATGGAAGCTGGGGTTGAAACAATACTAGTCATTTCCTTATCTCAATGTAAGTTTTTGTAATATATTTAAAATATAATATATATTCTGTTGTATTTTAGATTTATTAAAAACACAAATTTTAACAGGTAATCAATATAAATAACTTGAGATAGAAAGAAAGAAAGAAAGAGAGAGACATAGATACAGTGAAAGAGAGGGAGATAGAGGGGGGCAGGGAGAGGGAGAGAGAAGAGTAAGAGCAAGTTTGTGTTTATTTGTAGGTGTTAGGTGCTAGAGATAAGAATACAGTCACCAGCACCACAAATAAGTAAGTTTGAGTTTTGTTTTTCATATAATTCTTATAATTATATGTAATATTATATATTTCTGCGCTCCGCTGTTTCATCCACTATTTCCGAGATAAACATTATCCTGTAATAATCCAGGATTTGGTCTATGTGATAAATATTTAGTTTAAGTAACAAACAAAAATCATTGCTAACCAGCATGCTAGAGATAATTAGCAAGCATTTCTTCATCTATTTATTTTTTCATTATAGATGCTGGCAGCTGTGACTCAACTGTAAGCAGAGGCTCCCAAAATGCAGACGGAGGCAGCCGAAGTGCAAACTGAGTCTGAGTCTCTTTTATTTGGGCAATAAAATAGGAGATTTTTAAATAAAATCATATATAAATTGAGATGTTTAATGTTTGTTTTAATTCAAACATTATTACCTTAGATAATTAAGTAAAAACGGTATTTATGTAACATGTCCAAGTAAACATGTACGGTGATCCCCATTGCTTAAATATCACTATAATCAATACGTCTTTGTATACCTAAAATTATTTATATATACTTTAGGTGAACCTTTTTGTGCCAAATATTTTAAATAGTAAATCCTCTCAATCCCTAAGCGTTTGAATTTGACTGCAGTGCTATTCCGTCAAACCCCAAGCGGTCGGATTCGATCGCGTACACCAATTTGAACCTAACACTTATGTTTAGAGACTACTTTTCTAAGAAGAAGTTTGGCATTATAGAATTAAATATAAAATTTTCTATCCTCTAGTGCAATAAAAGTTCAGTTAGTCTTTGGATATTTATTTATAATCTACGTTCATCACGTACGCCATATTCAGTTGGATGTTGATGTGTTGATTTTTGGATTTTTCTGGTGTTTATTAGTGTATTACTATAGTGTTTTATTACAAAATTGTAATGAAAGTTTTTGTGTGAATATAATTTATCTTTTCATGTAAATAATTTCGAGTAATATATAGAAATAATAGTGATTTTCACGCTGCCGACATCCGCTCGGTATGTACCCGTTTTTTGTTATCAAAATACAATAAAGTTTTTTTTGTAATGAAGTAAAACCTGACTTTTGTTTAGTTCACATGATAGAGAATTTTATATAAATTTTATAATGCTAAACTTCTTCATAGAAAATTAGCTCTGAATGTAAGTTTTAATGGTTTAAAATGCTGTGGGTGGGTGCGGTCGCATACGACCGCTCGGGATTTGACGGACGCGTGCGTCTGCATGGGATTTTATTGGGATTGAAGGGATAATAAATTCCATAGTAGAAGCTTGCCTACTTCTTCTGAGATAGAGTTGTTGCACCCGGCCAAGCTAGCCCATTCGTGCTACAACCATAATATAACTGCAGCATGGTTCAACTAAGTTAAAAAAAAATTGCATTTAAATGATATTTAAGCCCTTAAGACCAATGAGTATAATTTAATTTAGACAATAACATTTTTCAATAATAAGCGTAAGATTTTTTTGTCAATAACAAGGGTAAGAAATTTGTTCATGTTTTAAAGCAAGTAAATAAGTAAACAATACCTACTGAAAATAAACTTACAGCTTTTACAATTAATGAACGACCTTCATGTGAGCCACTCACATATGCCTCTTAACTTGGAAGTTAGAAGTTTTATAAGTGTGCGGTCTATAGCTTCAATCACATCTGGTTGGCTGTAAGCCATATCTAAATTTTTCTT